CAAACATCATCTCCTCCTTCCAGACTGGGTTTGGAGTACGAGTTTGTACTTTTGTCTTTAAGATCTGGCTACCAATCTGAACTTTAACATAAGGATCAGGTAACCGGCTCTTGTCTCCAGCGATCAAGTCTTGTGCCTCAATCACACAAACACGAACATACCACAACCTTGGAGAATGATAAACTTTGGATCGTAAATGTGGTGACACAAATGAAGTATCACCAGGAGCAATAGCATCAGAGTGCCAAGCATCAGGAAATGCCTCATCAGCCTGTGTGCCATACCAGACAGCCAGCATTAGTTCCCCCTTTTTCTTCTCTCCCTTCTTGTCTTCTAGCCAATACCATTCTGGAGCCAATGGGCTATCAGGTGGATCCCTAGTGGGAATCTCATTGAGATCAAACCGCTTTGTCCCAACATAATCGTCTTTCAGCATATCCTTATCCTTGACAACAACTTCCAGCACAGAAGATTGCACTCTGTCTCTAGCAAAGGCAAAAACCTGATTCCACTCAGGGTTTTGCTTCTTCTCATAGTGTTTTGTGATCCCTTTGTAGTTCCCAACTTTTACCTCAACAAATGGGTCAAGGCTCCCTGTCACATCCTTTGCAGGAAGGTCTCTGGCCTTCACAACTCTTACAAAAAGGTACTGCACCTTCTTAACAAGGTCATAGGTACTGGTTGGCCTGTCCCCTCTAATAACTCGGCCACCAACCACCTGTCCCCCTCCAAGGAGAGGACTAGTCTCTTTCAAGGCATAATCAGGTAGCTGTGATGATGAGCCTGAGAACATACGAAAAACACTTGAAGGCTGTGGTTCAGATTTCATCTCCTGAACCCCATAATTCACTGTTTGCTGGACTGGGGCAGGGGGGAACTGTTGCTGCTGCTGCTGCTGCTTCTGTGAACTACTTGTGTTTGTAAGATGATGAAATATGTGTCTTTTCTCACTTTTCCCAGAAAGCTTGGAAAGTGAATCCACAGGTGAAGATGTTTCCATTGCAGGAAGTGGATTTGAGGCTTTGATTGAAGGGTCATCAGTAACAAAGACTTTCAACCCGAGCTCTCCTTTCACACTAGAAAGCAAGTGTTTTTTCTCCAGAGGGTAGTACAAAACAACTGCATCAGAGTAGGGGACAAATGTGGTACCAGTAAGGCGAACCTTTCCAAGGCACGTTTTGGAGTTGTTAGCTTTGCTATTGTTGTAGATATAGGCTTCAAGATGGCGGTTGGATAAGTTGTGTGGATCAGAAACGTTGAAGTAGAAACTTTCATTCCACACGGGATTGAGGTCTTTGTCCTTGGTAGTGGTGCGGACTTTCTGACCATCAAAATGGAGCTCCACAAAGGGACTAGATGACCCCTGCCCATCTTTAGACGCAAGGTCATGAGCACCAACCACCTCTACTCCTAGCTTGAGATTACTCATGGGTCTTGCGTTTAACAGCTGAAATTCAGAGAAGGGAAATGTCACATACCCTAATATGTGCGACCAGGAATAAGGGACAAATAGTTTTTAGTTGAAAGTGCCGACGCATAAACATTAAAGGGAAAAAAAAGGAGGATTCATAAGATTCTACAAAATCTTTATCAAAGAAGAGGATGATTCTAACAAAAAGGTGCAAACTTTGAGCTTCGCAGCTATTTTCGAATCGCAGATCCTAAGAATCATCCAAAGTAAAACAAGAAAAGCAAGAACAAAAGGCAGAAAAATAAACAGGTTCATCACCAACATATCACCCATTTTCACCAAAGAGAAAACAAGAATATTTGGAATCTTTCCAATACCTTTTCACTTTCCAGGGAAACAAACAGGTTTATCTTCAAAAAATCCACCCAGAAAGAAGAAAAAAAAAATCTTTAGCTCTGTTTGGTTCAGAGCAAGTGATTACTGACCATTCTAACAAAACCCACCAACGAAAAATGAAAAATTTTCTACCTTCACAAACAGATTACCCCATAAAAGAATCAAATTCCTTTTTCCTTATATCAATCAATAATCAAAAACAGGAAACAGCTGAAAACAAATAAAATGAAGAAAGAAAAAACTTACTTCCTTTTCAGAGCTTTTTCTGAACTGAAGCTGAGCTTCTTTTTTAGAGCTTGAAAGCTTAAGTCAAGAAGCTGATAGCGCTTTGCACACGGCGTATCCCGTTTCCACACGCAACCCCCGAAGACTCCATAAAGAAGAAGACGACCCCAGAAGTCCACACCTGAATTTCTTTGAAAATCTGATCAATCACTGAGGGGGTCCTCGAAAACCAGTGAAATAGACTTGCTTTTTCAGAATAATAAAAACAAAGTAAAAAATAAAAGAGAAAGCAATTTCTGCTTGTCCTCTTCCTCTGCGAGACTTAGGATTACACTGACCAAGACTTCTTTAAATTGGACAAACTCAATAGTGCTGGCAATTACGTACTCGCAAGACGTGGGAGATTGTTATTGGTTAACAGGACAATGCTCGTCTTGATTTTCTTGGTTGAGT